AGAAATGCTAGAATATTTCAAGAAAAGGAAAGAAGTCTTGCTGAAGTCAAGGAATGTATATTGACAAAGACAATTTCATGGCTGAAATCTTCACAATTGTTGGYAGATTTMTCCTTTGATGACTTRAGGAGAAATTGGRAAGCAGTGGCTTCTACAGTCTCCACCAAGAACAAATTACAAGTTGAATGGAAACCCCCACCAAATGGAGTGGTAAAATTGAACGTTGATGGTAGCTGCCAAGGTAACCCAGGGCCATCCGGAATTGGGGGGAATACAGATGGCTAGTAGCAGCAGTACAAGGTATACAGATGGCTAGTCAATTAGGAGTGAGCAATTTGTTAGTAGAAGGAGACTCCAAGGTAGTAGTGGGCTGGCTGAATAGCCTAGACACAGTTTGTTGGGGCTACAGGGATCTGGTAAAGAAAGTTAAATGGATGACAAGAAATATGACTGTTAGGTTCCAATGGGTTAGCAGATCAGCAAATGTAATGGCTGATTCTCTGGCCAAGCAAGGGGTGATCTGTTTTGGGCTAATTTGTAATTTGTTTCTCAGGTTTGAGCATGTTTTAGTGCTTATGATTCAGTCCTTGGGGGAGGTAACATCTCGTGCCTCTTCCTAGGCTGCATGTATTTCTGATTCTCTTTCAATAAAATTACTCTCATTTATCAAAAAAAAAAAAAGAATAGAAAAAAAGAACCTCTTTATAATTCTATTCTTTCTTTCCTCTTTTATTTCTTTCTTTCTTTTTTTCTCCTCAAACCCCTTTGATCTTTTAAAGTTCAATAGTAAAGCATTAGAACAAAGTATAATTGATATATATAGCATATAGTAAAATGTATTAACACATGCATAATAAGATACAACAATATAAATGATATTATAAAAGGCACCTGCCTTATCATTTTTGTCGCTTAGGTGAGTGCTTAGTTGCCTAAGTGGGTGCCTAGTTGCTAAAAGGTGGTGTTTGGGTGAGGTGCATTGACAAAAGCACTAGGCACCTTTCTATTAGATCTTGCCCAAGAAATGATTACTTCTGAATCCCCTTCCACCTTCAATTGATTGAAGCCCAATTGCTTAGCTAGATTGAGACCTTGTAGTAAAGCTAACAAATCAGCTTTTATAGAGTTGGCCACACTAATTGGTCCTTGTGGAGGTTTCAATTCCATTTTTATTTGGTCTTTGACTCTAGAGGAAAACACTATCTCCTTCCAAGCCCTTTGAATCTCAGTCACTATGAAATCTTGAAAGCAATCCAAAGTTTTAATCCAGAATGCTACCTTCACTTTTATTGTCTCTATTACCTCCTTTACAGGTCTACTTTTGTCATTAAAAATTCTGTTATTTTTTTCCTCTCAAACCACCAAAATAGTTGCAGCCTTGGTAACTTTCCACATCAATCTTCCTCTTTTCTTTGGCTGCCTTGGGAAATTGGGCCCAAAAATGTTTGCTACCTCTTGGGGAGGGATCCATCTACAACCAAAAAGATCATAGAAAAAACTCCCATAAGTGTTGGACAAAGGCAATGTTTTAAAAGCGCAAGGGGCAATTTGCGCCTGAGGCGCAAGGCAAGGCATGTGCCTTTTTGAAGCAAGGTGCAAAAATACAGAAAAATTGCTAAAAATAAAAAAAAAGTCAGAAGATTAAAAAAAAGCCAAAATGCAAAAACAAATATTAAACATAATATTAATAAGAAATATAAACTTAAATTTTAAAATTAATGGTTTAAAAACCTATTACCTAAAATTAAAGTACATAAACATAACATGTAAATCATATTTAAGTGAAAATTTAAAAATAAAATCAAACTTATAAAACATTTTCAAGCATGTAAAGTCCACAATCTTTTTTTTCCTCAATTGCATTACTTCAAGTAGCTAATGTGATGTAAAACATATTACATTCCTGATTCTATGAGTCGCCTTTGTGCCATGCCCCTCAAGGCAAGCCCAAACATGTCCATGTTAGGGTCTTGAATTCTTAATTCTCACAAAAAAATAATGATTTTATATTTTTAATTGCCTTTTAAGAAGATATTTTATTAAGGGGAAAATCTATGATGTAGGAAAGATATGGTATGGAAAGAGTTTTGACCAATCAAAACCCACCCATGAATTTTGATTAATAACACATGATTCGCTACCACGTTTATGATTCCAGTTAATTAGTCGGATGTTTTTCGGATATCATATCTTTTCCATATCATCATTGAACCCTTTATTAAGATGAATGAATGAACAACATTAGCAAATAGGGGGTTCTCAGAGTTACTCCTAAGGGTCTATTTGGTTTGCAATTGGAATTGGAATCGGAATGGTCTATTCCTCTTGTCCGTTTGGTTCAGACAGGAATCAAAATCAACTGGAATGGATTCTCATTCCTAAGGGAGGGGGAGGGAATGACCATTCCCTCAAATGATGAATGCCATTCCACTAGGAATGGGAATGGGATTCCAATTCCTTCCAACCAAACAGTTGGAATCAGTAGGGATGTCAATGGGTCGGGTTCGGCACGGGTTTGCCTCAACCCTCCAGTGCCCCATCCCAAACTTGACCTGGCCTGACTTTAAAATGTGTGATTCCCAAACCCAACCCGGCCCTATAGGGTCTTACCCGACACTAACCCGACCAAACTAGTAACATTTCAATTGTATGTTTTGAAGACATAAAACCCATTAATTTAAGTTAGGAAATTGTTTTATAGATTTTAAGGTGTCATTTTTCCCATTTAAAACAAGAAAACCAAAGTCAATATGTAAATAAATCTTAAGCTTTAAGGCTATAGAGTTAGAAGTCAAAAAATTACAAGAATACTCTGTATATATGCAGGGTATCATGGCCTGTTGGGATGGGTCCACCAAAACCTGAACCCGACTCGGGTTGAAGAATCAAAACCCTAAATCGAATATACTTGACCCTAACCCGACCCATTGACATCCCTAGGAATCAGAATGGACCATTCTGATTCCAATTCCAGATCCCTATACCCGTGAACCAAACGGACCCTAAGTTCCTACAAATGACTTCATTTCTGATCCCCTTTTTAATTTTTCCATTCATCCATCTCATATATATATATATATATTCACATTCATTTTTTGGGTATGCTATTTCTTGATAGCCCAACATTCTGCTCCATATGACATAGCTGGCCTTACAACTGTTTTATAGAAATTTCCTTTTATTTAAGTGGTATTTTCCTATCACATAAAACTCCAGATGTACCTCTCGTTTTTCTCATCCTGCTCTAGTTGTAATTCAATATATATAATCTTTTTATCTTTCTTTATCTTATTATTTTCTTTTTATGGTCTCTGGCTTACAATTCAGGGTGGCTTCTTAAACTATCCTCCATCAGTTTGTTACCAAAGTAGAAATTTTTTCCTATTTTGGAGGTTTACTCATGAGATCCCTGTGTCCACAGTTGATCGTCACTTCACCAGTATTTTGTGGACTCTCCTAAATGGATAACATGTCCCTGTTGCTAGACATGTACTGGTAATATGACAATAATTTTTTTGGATGGCAAGGACATTTGGAAATTGGACTCAAGAATCTGGTTCTAGAAGGGGATTCCCGAACAACCATTGGATGATTGAATGGAGAAATGGGAGGGCCTTGGCTTTCAGCTAGATATCCTGCGTCTCTAATTTGGGGTTGGGGCATAGGTTGGCGAATCAACCACTCCTTTTCCTCCCATAGCAAATTCTGTTATCTTTGTTTCTCCCCTTAGTTTCTTTTTCTTAATCTTCTTGACCTACATCAGCAACTCAAAACAAATAAAATGAAAATATGACAATAGGTGACAAAATCATTTTATTGGCTGGCAAGGACATTTGAACTCAAGAATCTGGTTCTAGAAGGGGATTCCCGAACAACCATTGGATGATTGAATGTAGAAATGTGCGGTCCTTGGCTTTCAGCTAGATATCCTGCGTCTCTAATTTGGGATTGGGCCATAGGTTGGTATACTCTCTGGGGTTTGAACGAGTCAAGGTGGAAATGCTTTCCCAGATGTTTATTGGATGGGTTCAAGTTGCAAGATGTTACAGTTGGGCCTTGGACTCTTGGATACTACATTATAAGCTACTAGAGCCTTGGCTTCTTGTGTATCTTGTTCAGATGATTCCGAATGCCTGCTAATTCTTTACAGATGGCCTTCTTAGGGGAGAAGTGAGTAGGACTAGGAACAAGTTTTGTTGGGGAACTGTTCCTTTTCCTCTGGAGTGGGTTCTTGTTCTTGTGATTTTTTTTATTGTTCTTGTGTTTTCCTTTTGTTGATTATGGCCTCTATTTTCCCTTCCCTTGGGGAGCACATGCTTGATATAAAACATGAGAACACCCAAAGGTGAAATATTCAAGGACAAAGGTCGCTTACTTCACTAACTTACGAATTTTAATCAAGTTTTGAGTCAGGGCATGTTCATTCTGCTGCCATAATGCGTCCTTGTTAAATTCTAGTGAATGTGTTTGTGATTCTTTGGTGCATCTTGTTGCTGAAATGAAATCTTTATTTGATGGCAGTGATGTGGCATCAGATGAGGAATTAGAAGGTGAAAATGAACGAAATTGTTCGTGTGTGATCATGTAGTTCTGACTTAAAACACAGCGTGCAGAGAAATCAGATACACTCCTTACAGGCCAAGTGAGCTCAGAAGCATAAAGGCAACAATTCATCTGGTGAATGTCTTCCGGTGAAGCTCTCTTTCACTTCTTCTCCCAGTCATGGCCCTGGCTGCCAACTGGTTCTGGAAAACGAAGTGAGGCTATGCTGAATCCATGCGACCATTGCATGGATTTTTGTTATGGGCCACATCTGGTTCAGAGTGTTCATTTGTGTCTCTTCTTTCCATCTTTGGGATTTCAATTTTGTCTATCTGGGCTTCCACGGTTTCCCTTTTACTCTTTCCGCTTCATTTGTACTGCATACATGTTTCTTTGCTACATATTTAATTATTTATGCGGCTTTCACTGTTCATGTGTTGGAGTTTCTATCAGTTGCTCATGATCTGGGAATTGCAAGCTGGGAGTTGCCTCTCTCTCTCTCTCTAGCAAGAATCGCGTTTTTCAAAACACTTTAACCACAAAGTTTCTTATGTGGTTACATGGCCGTACTGAAAGTCTGAAATACTATATGGAAGATGAGGACCCGATTTTTTAAGGTAAATTTTGTACATGGGATCGGGATGGCAACACTTAGACCCCCGAACTTTATTTTACCATAAAGACTCTCAGAACTTCTATGTTCTTGCATTTTGCCCCTGATCCCCTAAACGGGTTTGACTGTGACCTTAAATTACTAAAATTATCCATTCAAAATTCATGAATTGATATCAACCAAGGACCAAAGTATTGGTATCGGGTATTGTATCGAATGATTCAATATGAATATGTTTTGGAAATACATGAATATAAACGAAAGATATAAAAATACTTGGATAAGTCAAGGTTTAAAATATTGAGCGATATCGATACCTTTTTTTTTTACTTTTTTTTTTATTTTTTTTCAAAACCGGTTAGGGGGCCCAGTTTAAAGCTCTTTCACCCCCTGAATCGGTCAGAACCTTGATACACCCTCTGTAGGGGCGTATCAGGGAGATCTTGGAACGAAACGTATCAATACTTTGAACCTTGGGATAAGCTAGTGAAATGCATGCAAATCACATAAATACATTAATCATACTAACCAAAAGCTGAATTATCTATAAATAAAATATAAACACATGAAAAATGCATATTTCAATAGGTTATATGAAGAGAAATATTACAATAAACAATACTAGGGCTCTAGAACATTCAAACATTGTACAATAATTATCACTCTTTTAATTTTATAATTATAATTTTCAATTTTTATTAATTTTGGGAATATTTATTAATTTAATATTTTATTTCAATAACAACTATTTTTTTAAATAATAAATATGTTTTCATTTTTAACATATAATGTTTTTATTTTACACATAATTGTAAAATAAAACAATTAAATCATTTAAGGTATATAAAATAAATTATATTTAGTTTTCAGTTTTTATTAAATTTTTTGAGAAAATTAAATCTTAAATTATTTGTTTCAGTTTTTATAATTATAATTTTTCTGTTTTTCATTAACTTTGTTGGGAAGTTTTATTTATTTAGTATTTTTATATAATAACTCTATTTTTTCAAATAATAACTATGTTTTCATTTTTAACATATAATTTTGTGTAAAATAAAATATATAAATCATCTAAGGTAGATGAAATATAATATTTTTATAATTTTTAGTTTTTATTAAATTTTTTGAGAAAATTAAATCTTAAATTATTTATTTTAGTTTTTGTAATACTTTTTTCAACTTGTATTAAAGATCAAAAACAATCCAAAAGTACTCAATGTATAATTTTGTCAAAGTAGACACAGATACACCTCCATATCGGTGGATGTGGCCCAATACGGAGGTGTATCATATTGATACACATGACTCGTAGGATACGTATCCAGTTGTAGCGTATTTTGTATCCATAATCATGGATATGAACAGGATACACCCCGTATTAGGAGTATATTCAATACCTTAATCCTTGAATTATCAACGATGAAAATGGCCATTCTAAATAACAAACTCTCCTTTAAGCATTGATCAACCGATCATTTTAAAGGCCTTCTTAAGATGAACTTCTGTTAAAAGAAAGTTAAAAGAGATATATTTGAGAGTAAGGCTTTGTTAAAAATGCAAAATGGTCTCATTAAACTAAGGTGGTTTTAGAAATATTTGAAGAAACATTTTTTAATTACGGCAGGGACAGAGTGCTGAAATCCAAAAGTTAATGGGTCTTTGTTACAAAATAATGATCAAGGAGATCTTAAGATTTTTTTTTTTTTTTTTGTGAAATAAAAGTTAAGAGAAATGCTTGAGAAATAAGATTTAGAAAAGGGTAGACTGTCTATTAGTGCCCTGTACTTTGGAGCTAGCCTCATTTTAGTATCCAATTTCAAAATGTGCTACTATAATATTTGAACTCTCTGAAATTGTCAATTTAGTCCAAAATCATTAACCGGCTTTAAATGGCATGTGAAAGGATATAAATATCTTTCAAGTTTTGAATAGGCAAGAGAAGCATAATTTTGAAAATGCCAAAATAGCCATATTTAAATCCCTTTTCACTATGATTGGGCACATTGTTAGGACATCATTTTATGCCCTAACCTATTTTTCAAAGAACTAGTGATTCCCACCAGATAAGCTGCACAAAAAAGCGTTGCCGGGGAAGAAAGATTTGGACCACCATCATTGTCAGAGGAGATGAGTAATTCTTACCGTCACCAAGGAAGACAATCAAGGTAAAATGGTTTCAAAAATATTAAAAAGTTAGTTTTGGCATATTTTTTAAAACATTTAAGTCACGCATATCATCATATGATACAAATAACTAATGGGCTACTAATGGCAAGTAATGAATTGACAGTTTTTGAGAGTGCAAGAACTACAGTGGCATGTTTTGAAGTTTGGATACTAAAGTAAGACTAGGCTCAAAGTAGTACTAATCTACAATTTACCCTCTAGAAAAAGAAAAATCTAAGGAGGCATTCTACAACATGAATATTTTGTTTTCATCTTTTTTGAAATCATTCTATCAAGAAAAATAAAAATACGTTTTTGAACTCTATTTTTGTTTTGAAAGATAAAAATAAGTTGGTTTTATTTCAAAAAATAATATCTATGTTTAAAACCATCAAAATAATGGTTTATAAAGAAAAAACAAACTTTAAAGTGTAAAAAATATATGATTTATGAAACATGATATTAAATAATCAAATGACAATATATTATTAAACTAGAAAGTGGATAAGGATCAAGAATAACTAAAAAGGGGAGAAATCCCTTCTTTAGGGCGCTGGTTCCCTATTTATAATAGAACCGGGGAACTAAGCTGCTTGCATGAGATATATATATTATAGAATCTTCTTCATATTAACAAATACTTGGTAGACAAATCCAATTGATTTCTCCTCCATGGAAACATGTCCGGGGCACTACTACGAAACCCTTAGACCACCTTCTTGGAAGTCACTCTGAATGTAACTTGTATTCACATGGACACCAGATATATCACTCCTTATGCTATCCACAAATTATTCCCACATCCATACCCATGAAATACCACGGCTGTGTATTGGGAATATCTCCCGTGAATGATAAGAAAGATATTCTCAATGTACAGCTGTAATTACTCATGGGTAGGGATGTGGGAATAAATTATGGGTAACAGATTTGAACCCTACTTTTACTCATGATTTCCCAAGGTGATCATGCGTCTCTCACCCCAAATACACTCCCAAGGGCCAATAGGGGTGCTTATGGTTTGGTTAATTAAACTGTGGGCCTAATTTTGAAACCGGACCAGTATGTCTAATTCTTGGAAAACTGGTAATCGAAGCCAATCGGTTAACCAGTTGATTAGTTCGGTTTATCGTTTTTTTGGTTTTTTTTTAAATTTACAATATATATTATAAAAATATATAAATATATAATAAAAAACTAGAAATATATATATATATATAGAATATTATATTTTAAATAATAAATAATGTATTATGTATATAATGTATATTTATTAATTTATAATATATAGAATATATATATAATATAAATACATATAAAATATATAGAAATATATATATACTGCTTGGTTCGGTTAACCACCAGTTTTCTATATTGGTTAACCGAAAATAAACTAACCAGTTCAATTAACTGAATTTTTTGTTTGGTTTTGGTTCAGTTTTTCTTGCTCACACCTAAGGGCCAAGGCTTTAGTGGGGTGTGAGCCAGGTTCAAAATATCAATGCATGGAGATACACCGGTAGGACGTATTGGCTTGTATCGGTATTCTGTTTTTTTAGTTTCTTTTTTTTTTTTTTGAATCTAATTCAGAGGAGACGGTCTACACCCTGAACCACTCACCGACCCGAAACACCCCCTGTTCCCCTGTAGGGGCATATCAAAAAGGAACCTTGGGTGTGAGGTTTGATTTAGACTTTACAAGATAATGTTGGTAAGATAACGTGATTCTCTTTCTGCGAGGTTTTCTGTTAGTAGAGTCTTGTCATATTGCGCTTGCAAAATAAGTACAGTCTAAAACTGTTAACAGACGTTAAAGTGGCATGTGAAATGACATAAATGCCCTTTTAACGTTATCTAATTTCTTTTACAATGCCCTTTGTGAAAATGATACAAACGACACGTTTTGAAAAGTCTAATTCATTTTATCTTGCGGTTTTTATTTTTCTGCATAACTTGATGCGAATCCTTGATTTCGGACAAAAAAACAGCTGCAATTAACCCGTGTAACTGATATCTAAAACACATGGTTTTCGAACTGTAGTTAATTCGAACGGTTGGACCGTCTGGCCCAAGAATTCTAAACAATCGATTCTGTTTTACTTCAAATCCGGTCTTTAGCTAAAAATCATTAAATCAGTCAATGATTTGTTGATCCAGGCGATTGAACAGTCGATCTATTGACCCATTCAACAGTTTTGATCATTTTTTATTTTTAATATTTTTGTGAGAATAAATCATCTATTCAAACCAAACGATCAAACCATCAACCCAAAAACTGGTGAATCGATTTTTAAAACCATAACACTAGAAATGATTCCAAACAAAAACGCAACTTTGGAGGCTAAAAACAATTAATGGATCACCTCGTATTCGCTATTTCCAAAATCAATATCTATCCTCTCTCTCTGTCTCCGCTGATCCCAGTGGATGAATATCATCCACACTGGAGGTGGGGACGAAGGCTTCTGCATTCCAGATTTCCACCTCTTTAACGCCTTAACGGTAAGTGGTCCAAAGACCTTACAGAAAAACCACCGTCATCTAGTGGGGAACATCATAAGCAGGAAGTGGGGGTGTGACATAGCCTGAAATGCAGATTCAAGTGTTTTGTGTCGTTTGTTTTTAGGGAAAATAACAACAAATCGTGATACATTAACACATCATGCGGTCCTAAGGAGTCTCTCTACATTCGTCTCCCTTGCTATTCTCTCTCTTTGACTTTGTTTTATTTTGTTGACGAAGAAGATGATGAACAGTTTAATTTCACCAATTTATTATTGGAGCCTTAATAAATTTTTATGTTAGAGGAAGGAAGTAGTTTTTTATTTCTCTTTTGTTTCTTGGGTAAAATTTGAAATTTCAGAAATTTAAATCACATCTGATGCATCAGTTAACTGACGATTAATAACGCTAAGTATTAAATTGATAGTTTTCAAAAATTTGGGTACGACAGTAAAACTACCCCAAATTCAGGGTACTAGACTGAAAATTTCCCATTAAAATCCAAAGAAAGCTTAGCATTCTCCTTGGAAAACTTGGCCGTATCTTATCCACTTCTTTAGATGGGCTCTCTGGTAACGCTGCCCCATCATCCTCGTCGTCTTCTCCTGTAGTTCTCTTCCAATAACAGAACAGAAGAAAAGCTGAGCAAAAAATACGAATTAGAGAGAGAGAGAGAGAAGGGAGAGCAATAACTAAACGAAAATGTCTGTGGCTTCATGTTCAATCCCTTGCATCAAAATCTCAAGCTCCTCTTGTTCTTCTTCAACGCCAACAACTTGTTCTTCATCCTCTTCTTCGTCTTCCTCGTTCAGGTTTTCAGCCACTAAACCTTCCGTTACTATAAGGAGTTCCAACGCTGAAGGACCTTTTCGAAGACCCGTCGCTCCTTCTTTGCGACCACCCTCTCCTCCTCTCAAACCCTCCCCTCCATCTCCACCTCCACCTCCATCCCCGTCTCCTGCCCCATCTTCGGCTCCTTCCAAGCCGGTTTCGGTGGCTGGGGTGCCGCAGGCATCGGACCCGAACGTAATTACTATGGAGTTCCAGAGACAGATGGCTAAGGAACTTCAGGAGTACTTTCGGCAGAAGAAGCTTGAAGAAGCAAACCAGGGGCCCTTCTTTGGGTTCATCAGCAAGAATGAAATAGCAAATGGGAGGTAACTTCATTTTGTGATTCAAGTTTACCTCTTGGTTTACTCATCATCCTTATATTCTAATTGCAGTTTGTAATTGGATTGATATATCTTTTTTCTTTCTCTTTTCAAAACATTCTTCTTTGGGTTTGAATTGTAATGGATACAACAGGGGGGGGGGCACTGGGAATTCAACCATTGAATGTTGCTTTAGGTGGGTTCTTTTATTTGGGGTTTTCTTCTCTGTCTCAGATGACCCCAATAATTATTCGTGTCTCCTTGGATAACTAAACGAGTTTCAGGGAATAAAACAATAGATCAAATGTTGATGTTGTAAGGAAAATTCGAGGAAGAGAATTCCCAACCTACCAGTATTAGCTCTTTGACAATGTGCCATCTAAATCATTCGTATTTGCATTGGAACAAAAGTACAGTTAGTCATTAAAAATTGACAAATGTGACTGAAATGCATGAAGCATGCCAATAACTGATTTCTTTATTGGGGACCTAGTGATTTTGCATATGGGATCTCATTCTACCATTAAAAACCAAGAGAGTAACATTTGGATCTATGTCATAATTTTTTCTTCTGTAACAAATGGAACTTGAATATACTTTGGAAGTGTTCTCTTTGAGTTTCTAAACAGACCACCAACGTCCAGTGAGGTGGTAATTTAGGTTGTCATAGAAAGCTTTATGTCACAAATTAAGCTTTAAATATGCACCACATAGAGGATGCCAACATTTTTTTGCACATAACCATTATACCCGCCTTCAAGACATAATTCTAAGACTGGTTCAAGGTTTATCCTCTTAAGCAATGAATAGGCTTTAGAAATAGAAATCAACTAAACCAACAATCTACTGATCACCCTGCAGATAGTGCTATTGCAGGCAATTCTTTTTAGAAGTTCTTTCACTCTGTTTCTTTAAAGATTCCCAAAGGGCAAAAAAAGGGTTGTTTTATTGTATTTCTTTCACTCTATTAAAAGTGTGAACGATAGTGTGAAACTTTTGTTTGGCTAAAATACCCCTATTTTTTATTTTGGTCCCTCTCTAATTGTGAGAGCACAAAATGTGATTTGAACTATTATATTTCTCCTCATTCAATTCCCTTTCATTAAGTTTTATATTTATGTATTAACTTCCACTCTTTCATTGAATTCTTATTAATTAACCATATTAAAGAAAATAAATGTGACAAAGAATAATTGTTTTTATTGAATATAGAAATAAAATACAAATTTAAAACCAACCCAAAATTGGAGTTATTTTCTTGTTTGGTGGCAAGCCAACAACATAGGTTTCAAGGTGCCAAGGCAAACCCAGGCGACAAGGGAGCACTTAGTCGCCTAGGCGCCCGCCTCAGTGTCGGCGTGTCGCCTAGTGTCTCAAACCTTTTCTTCTGTAATATCTTAGAAATAACCATCACCAAGTAAAAGAAGGGGCTGCTCTGTTTTTGTCATAGAAAAAGAAGAAAAAAAAATCAACAAATAAGGAAAAAAAGGGTGGAGCCGCTTTTTTTTGTCTCCAAAAAGGGAGAGAAAAAACGATAAACAATATGAAGGAGAAGGGGTGAAGCCCCTGTTATTGTTTAAAAAAAAAATGCAAGAAAAAACATGAAAATGATGGCCGTTTCAAAAAACAGAGAAAAAAATCAAATGGAGAACAGAAATTTTAAGGAGTGGAGCCCCTGTTTTTGTTCCAAAAAGGAAAGGAAAAGAATCAGAAATTTAAGGAGAGAGTTATTTCTTATCCCGGAAAAAGAAGGCACTGATCTCTATTTCTGTTCTTGAGGAAGAAGAAGAAGTCGAACATACCTGTGTTCGACATGTGTTACTTGTTGCTTTAAGTCTTCACTCTTTTAAGTCTTCGAAAGTTCAAAGTCTTCAAAATCTTTGAACTTCAGTTCTTTATTGCTTGAAAAATCTTGAAGTCTTCGAACTCCACTGAACTTCAGTTTTTTACTACTTTTTTTGGTAAGGAGCTCTGTATCATTTGAACCCTAATATAAAAAGCTCACAAATGCATATTGATTTATGAAGTAACAAAAACGATATTATGGCGTAGCATGGCCTATTCTAATATTATGAGATAAAAATATAAAAATATTATAGTATAGTATAAGGTTTGATATAAAATTGATTGGCGTTTAGGCAAGGCGAGCAATAAAAAGCGCCTAGTCGCCTTCACAACTATGGTCAATAATTCAATCTTTTGGGTCAAATGTGTCAACCCTAATGTCATAATTTAATAATAATAATAATAATAATTAAAAAAGATGAAAACACACAAAAGTATAAAAATACAAAAAAAAGGGTAAAAGACTTAAACATACCTAGAGTTTTCATAAACTGACTTAAACATACCCTGAGTTTTTTAAAACGACTTAAAATATACCTTGTGGGATGACCTGGACTTAAACATACCTCCATCAATGAAATGGTACATGTAGGGTCATTTAAAATTTTAAAAATCCAATTTTACCCTTTTGAGCAGTAAAAAGACTGGTTCAGTTAATACACACACACAAAGGTAGAAATAAGGGGAGAAGTAAGGAAGTAGATTGGGAAAGTTCAACTTGGAAACAAATTTTTGGGGTTGGGGGAGAGACTCTAGAGAGAAATTCAACGGAAATGTTATCACACCAAGCCTTGGGGTTTAGTAAAAAAGTTTGAAGTGGGGAGGAGGGAAAAAATGAAATGGCTCCTCCGTCTTTGTTCTAAACAGACAGGACCCATGCAAGAGATTTTCTTTTTTTTTTTTTTTCAGGACTCATGCAAGAGTTTCTGTGTTTGCTGGGCCCCATCATTAGAGATGTGTGGCTCCAATTCACAGCGGGTAGAGAGTGGATAGGAAAAGTGAGTAGGAAATTCCGAGTGCCCATCATCAATAACTCACACCTTTTCCCAACGCAGATATTATATTCAGGACCAACCAGGCATCATATGGGTCCCACCTAGGTGGAGCCCTCCAGGGAAAAAATCATGATTAGATGACTCTGAACCATCCGATTAGTGCGTTATTTTTTCTGAACTTTACAAGACCTGTAACAAAAGGCACATGCCTGATGAGTTTGAAAAATTTAGGGTATATTTTGAACCATCATATGACTCTGAACCATCTGATTAGAGGCAGTCTGGTACGCTAGTAGTCCACCACCCACATAAGTTTGAAAAATTCAGGGTATATTTTGAAAATTTGAAAGAAAATGAAAGCTAAAAAGTCACAAGGTATATTTAAGTCTTTTTTAAAAATTCAAGGTATGTTTAAGTACATTTGGACACATCTCTAATATCATATACTCATCATATTAAACAAAAACAAGTGTGACAAATAAGAATAATTTTTATAGACATAGAAATATAAAAAAATTGTTAAAAAACTTTGGAAACATATTATTTACTATCGTCATCATAATAATAAAAAATTGCCATGTGTAAAGCAACATGCACACTTACTAGTTCCCCTAAGCGTCCCCTTTGGCCAACCAAAAGGAAATCAATCACACTCCCTTTGACAGATCCCATCAATGGATGAGTGAAAATAATATCCTCTAAAGCATCTAGCAATAAATTAATGAATAAAGGCGGTTGACATTCTGATGTTTTTTGTACAATCTATTAGGGCTTAAGCTGGCTTCTATCAATTTTCTGATCAACTTCAAGGAACTTACTGAAATAAATATCCAAATGAACTCTTCTGCAATTGGGAGAATAATTGGATGTTTTGCAAATGAATAGTGACTGAAAGCTTCAACAAGGATATGGAATAAGCTAAGCTCTAGCGGTCCAGAAAACAGCAGAGATCTCATCAATATTCCTCTGCTACACTATGTCAAACTTTTGAGTTTTAAACACCATAATTTGAAATAGATTCTATATCCTCCTTTTGAAGCTTGTGAATTTGGTAATCTAATGTGCTAGGGGGACAGAATGCTTTCAGAGGATTGTATAGAGGAGAAGTTAGCTAGTTTGTTAGTCATGTCTGGAAACTTCACTATTTAATCTCAGATAAGTTTTCTATTCTAAATTTTCTTTTGGTTCCTGAAGGGTTCCAATTAATCAGTTTTGTCAGAATCTCGATGAAAAACAAGAAGACTTTTCTACTTTTCTGGCTGAAACAATATTATTGAGAAAAAAAAGACAACAATTGATGACTTTCTTCGATTTAGCTGCTCTCTGGGTATAATTATTTACTCTGAAAATTTTTTCTTGATCTCTTTTCAATTTTAGGTCATTTAGGATCCTAAAATGTTATAACTGGTAAGTGGTATTAATTATTGATTTCTTAACCATATTGGGTTATGAACTCTTAACTCTCCTTCATAAATGCTCAAATTCAACAATTCAGTCCACCTTTGTACAGTACCCTCCTTAAATTATACAAAGACTATGTAATTTTTATCCAACATGACTTTAGAAAGCAAGGATTTTCTTCCTCTTCTTATCTTTTTTTTTTTTTTTTCATTTCCTATGTATTGATTTTCACCATCATGCTTGGACTTGATTTGGGATTCAAATGAAATTGGTTTCTGTTTACTGAATGGTTCTTGTGCAGATGGGCAATGTTTGGTTTTGCTGTTGGGCTTCTAACAGAGTATGCAACTGGTTCAGACTTTGTTGATCAAGTAAAGATCCTTCTCTCAAATTTTGGGATAGTAGACCTGGAATGATTCTGCTGATTGGTCTTCATCACCATCATCTCCATCTTTGTGTAATTGTTGTAGTCATATCCAATGTTTCTCCTGTAATTTCTGAATGAATTACTCTATCATTCTCTTCTGAAGACACCATCATAAATTGTATTGTATCTTCAGTATTCATTTTAACTGTAAGAATAAGCTCCCCTACTTTTGTCATCCAACTGTCAGGGTCCTTTGACTTTTTATTTGGGTTTTTCTTTTACATTTTCTCTTCTACTACTTTAATGTGAGGCCTTCTCAGTTGGTCTCTGAGAATATACATTTTTAGTAGCATAAATCTTGAGATATTCTGAGTTTTCTCAATTTTATGGGTTTATCTTGCCATCGGCTGAAATGCTTAAGTAGAATGAAAACCTTTTCACAGTTGACTAGTCTCTGGTAGAAGTTCACAGTCTATCAAGAAATGCACCTTTTACTTTTTTATTTTTTCCCCACACATACTGCCTACCGAAATGCTGTTATATCCTGTCAATCACTAGCACATTATCATATTTGATGATGATGGTTTCCTCAATGGGTAATCTTGAAGTTATCTCTGTAATCTATTGGCATCTTTAGTAGCATGTCTTCATGTAATGGTCATGAACGATTACAGTAAGAAGACTGCTTTCTCCTGAAGTTTGTAAATCCCCCTAAACCCAAACAGTATGCAAAATCCATCTATGCATATCACCCTGTTATTATTTTACCCTTTACTTTCTCAGTGGTACCATAATTGGGAAATCATTGGGAGGCACATAAAAACCAATAATGCTGAACCATGTTAACTCGTGTGTTCTTTTCAATTTGCATTCTTTTCTTCATGCTTTCTTGGTTTTGTCACGAAATGGAAAGTTCAAACTTGGAATTACAAGTGTAATTTTCCATGAATCACGCACCTAATTTAGCTAACATTACTCTTTTGAGAATTACATAATTAGGCCTATTTACGGGCCGGGTTTCGGACCTAACTTTACACTGTATTGGATTTGGGTTTTGGGTTTTGGGTCTGGGCTTCACGTCCAGATCACCATGCAAAAAATCTAATCTATTTATTTTCCTCTCCCCCATAATGAGGATTAATTTTCTTCGAGTTCATCAAACAACTTTTGTTATCATTACAGCGCTTTGATTCTCAAATTCAATTAATTGAATCACATTACTCATTTTTTGTGTAATGGTAAAGTCTCAATCTAAGAAGGGTGAGAATGTAGGTTCTAAGTGCGAGAGTAACCACTTTTATTTTTACGTTGCCGTACCCAAAGTAGGGGTGCAAGGGCGGGCTCAATCCGAGCCCAGGCTGGCCCAGCCCAAAATTTTACATGGGCTGGGCTTAGATTTTTGGTCCTTGGGTGGGTTGGGCCCAAGTCTCACCCTAGCTAATCTGGACCCAGTTCAACCTTATCCCAACCCGAGCTTTTATATATATATGTTAAATTTTATATTGGGTTCATTAAGTAACTTGAGATCAACCTAGGCCTAAATTCAATCTGAGTGCATCAAATTACAGTGTGGATTGGACAGCTTGGATTGAAAATATTGGACTTGACCTTGGGCCTTAGGCCTAAATCTTAGGGTTGGGCCTGGATTGTCCACATAAACCCAACCCCAGTCCGTCCAACTTGCACCCCTAATCCAAATCTAAAAGTGAAAGGAAAATGAAAGTTGGCTAGTTGGGTGAATTGATTTGGTCCATGACAGCTTGATCCCTAGAGAATTAATGACGAGTTGGATTGGACTGACACCTTCCTGTGTTTTTTTATGGGGCAACAAAGCGGGGATAGCTCATCACCCATGCCCATAAGCCATAACCCCCAACCCGGGTGAAGGCGGACCTCCACGATCCATTCCAAGTCTCCGTTACAACCAGCCAAGCCTGCAAATTTTGGGAGAGAATCGAGTCAACGTGACTAGCCAAGAAGGCTGAGGGTCTGGATGTAGTAGGCACTTTAGGTAAGCAAAAAGCAATGAGTATCTAATAGATATAGCTGTGTTACACCTGTTTCAGTTAATACGTCTTTTATTCAAATGTTTTTGTTCGTTGGACAGAATTAGACATGTTAGATAAGCATAATGAGTGAGCACCCAATAGCTATGTGACACCTGTCCCAGCTAATACGTCTTTCATCCAAACGCTTTTACACGTTAGGTAAATACAATGAGTGAGCACTAATGTGCCTTACATCCAAACGTTTTTGTTCCGTTAGACATGAATTATTTATTATTTTATTATTTCTATCAAAATAATTAAAAATATAAAACAATTAAAAAGGAAAGCGTCATCATCTTTCAGATTTTTGGGTCGTCATCTTTCAGATCAGCAACAGCGTGGATCACTTGACCTGTCAAATGTCTCTCACCAAGTTAGCCCTCTTGGCCTTGGGGTGAGACTGAGTAAGACTGCAACATTATTAGAGCTTGTAACAATGGCAGTTAATCAGAAAAAAAGAACCTCTACAGAGTAAGATTGTATCAGCAAAGTGCGATTCTGCTCTATCCACTACCACTTTGAATATAATCATATGCTCCAAGGATACAAGGACGATTACAGATCGATTTGTTACCCAATCAGTTGCAGAAAAAATGAAGGCCAGTTTGGCAAGTTTTTTTTAGAAGATTTTTTTGTAGCTCTAACAGTCAATAGACGCATTAAGCTTTTGACATAAGATCTGGGCAGCCTGAAGATCGTTTGGCAGACATGCATCTTTCCGTATGTCGTTTTGGGTCTTTCCGTGCAAGATTAAAAAAACACGGGAAGCTTCATTTGGAGCTTCCCGAAATCAGCCCAAAATGGGCTTTCCACGTCTTTTCAACACCTTATCTTTTTGCGGTGAGATCTTTCGCGTACCAAACAGGAATAAACCGAAAGACCACAAGGAAAGACGAAGATGACTTGATAGCGAAATGTTGCTATGGAAAACGAAAACCGGTGTAGGAAGTGTTGGAAAATGGGCTGAAGAACAAGATTGAGATCCAATGGGCAGAGATTTCTGCGATCCAACGGCCTTTAGAAATTGAGTTGAATCGTCCCCCACTCTTCTTCAAGGAAACAAATCCTCAGCCCCGAAAGCATGCTTTGGATTTTACTGGAGGCCAAGCACCAATATTCAGGAGGCACTTTCTCCAATTCCTTGAAGGAACTCTTGAGAAGCACTATGAGAAGATTCTACAATGCGATAATCGTTTGCTCACGTTGAACCAAAGACCATTCCCTGATTTTAACAGTCCTTACTTTTAATCACATCTGTATGGACTTGAAGACTTCTCCCACGAATTCAACGTGCCACAACTGGAAATACCACCCCAATTTCAGTTTTCCCATTTGGGTTTCCAAAGGCCCGATTCAACCCCTTTTCAATCTGTTGAGAATATCCAGCCAATACAGACTACCCGTCAGTGCCTTTTGTTCAACTTCGCCATTGTCGGCTACCCACCCATGTAAGACAAAGGATATAACCATAGCCAGAGTTCTAATTGGGGACAAAAAACAAACATTGTCGAAAGCATTCAGACAAGAAAAATGGATCCATAATGTTCACCTTTCTCTCGACAGGGTTCTCGTCGCCTACTGACTGAATCGGAACAACCTCCTACAGATAACTGGTTACTCAAGGAGGTAGCTGATCAGTTGCTGAATGACTCACAGATAGTGGTGTTCTGCGATGAATTCTCCAACCTTCTGCCGTTTTGGGTTCTCCCACCTCTCGGTTGACAAAAATAATAAAATAATAGATAATTTTTGCGTAAGGCAATAAAAACGTTTGAATGGAAATCGAGTTCAAATCTGACCCCACTAGATTGCCCAACAACGTGTCACAACACATTCTCACTGTGTCACACAGCTATTAGGTGCTCATTCTTTCTCTTTCTGATTACATCCGCATCCGAAGGTTGAACCTGGTTGAACTCATCAACGGCCGACCAATCCAAATTGAAAAAGGCGCGGCAACCATGAGCAAATCCTCTCTGTTTACCTTACTATGATTTGCAGGTTTCTTACAGATTAAAACCAAATCTGAACGCTAGCCTTTCGACTTCTTCATCTGTTCTAGCAGAAAACCTTGTAAATTTGAAAATCCATAATCAGAGTTTTGAAACCTCGCCGTCTTCGCTGCAGAAGTTGATTGACCGGTACAAAAAGTCTCGATTACGCTTTCGAATTCCGATCTCTTCACCAGCTCCAAGTGAAGAACCGTTTTGTGATTCGTTTTCGTGTTCTGAAAAATACGAGTGCCTAATTCGTCAGTGTGAAGGTTCTTCTAATCCTGAAGATGCTGAACGACTCCATTCTCAAATCATCAAGAATGGGTTTGTCAGTAATTTATTCCTGCGTAATACACTCATTAATCTATATGTTCGAACGAGTAATGTGGCATCGGTCCACCGGTTGTTTGGTGAAATGCCGGAGAAAAATGCGGTTAATCGTGGCAACTTCATACTGTTTAATCATATGATGCAGTTACACCATCAATGCTTCCTATCAAACATCTTGTTTTCACCCATAATCCAGGGGGAAGAAATCTTGCATAACTGCCTTATTTGCAAATTGCTCATTGCAACAGAACTCTTTGTTTTCGTGGTTTGAAGGGTAGTTTCCAGAGGTTTGATGCAGCCCCTCTCTGGCTTTCTGAAGTTTTGAAGTCTGATGTTAGCTTCTGTTTCTCTGGTAGTTAGGTGTTTGTTTCCTCTTTTTTCTTTTTCCTCTCTTTTGGTTTTATTGCTAGTTAAACCCATAAAGAGACGCTATAAATATTTTACTTTTTTTGTTGATTTCAAGAAAGAATCTTTGATTGGCTAGCTCAGCTGACCAGATGGGATAAAACAACTAAGTTGTTCCATAAGTAGTAAGTACATTAGTGTCAAAGATAAAGTACAGAAAGTTCATTCAGTTTAGTTGCCAAGGAATTCAGAAGAAGCGTTTCCCCTCGATGACCTTAGCAGGCATTTGCTAGAAAAGTCTTCATTCTTCTCATTCAGAACCTGCATTGCAATGCCATTGCATCCACCATTAGTTTCCAGAATCAAGCTTTCATTTGATAACATCTTTAGGGGAACTAGAGTTGGTGACATCTTTATTGGGCCCTGGCCCATTTTTCTGGGCTGGGCTCAAAATGATCAGCCTATTGCTACTCTCATAGTCCCTTGTGCCTTAATGATTTTTTTTTTTTTCATTTAAAAATTATTGCCAAAGTAGCACTGTGAAAGCAACAAAATTTGACTTTATCCTTAACGTGAGGTGGAGGGTTTTGACTTTATACTTTATAGTTTTTTAATGTTTTATGGTTAAGCTGTGTTTGGTTTGGAAGAAAAGAAAGGGAAAGGAA